TTTTTATCCTAACTGCCTAGCCAATTCCTACCTCCTATTTTTATCACACCATCCTCTGAAGAGGTTACCCAAATTGCCAATAGGGAATAGGGGCGCAGACTGCTCTGGCTTCTCAAAAAAAACTTAAAAGTTATATACATATGCAGTTATATAATGGATGTAGGCCAAGCTAAAGAATACAGGAAAGGCACGTAAAGACAGGACAGGTATGGTTTCTTTTTAATATTCTGTGAGGTTTTCTTTTTTTGAGACAGTCTCCCTGTAGCCCCAGCTGGCTTGGAACTCACTATGTAGATGCAGCAGGTCTTGGTCTCACAGAGATCCACATGTCTCTGCCTCCTGGGTGCTGGGATTGGAGGCTTGTGCTATCATGCCTGGCTCTGTTTCTGTGATACTTTAACTATAACTGAAAACAAGGGCTCATGTACAGAAAGTGTCCACATGTTATTACTTTGGTTACTGTATTTCTTGGAGTTGTAGAAATTATGAAGTAATGGAACAGGAGTTCTTCACAAGAGACAACTAGAATGAGATTGTAGGGGAAAACATTATTATGGAAAATAATTCAGGAGATATTTGTATGGAGCTGAGGTGGTTTTAAAAGGACAGAGGACTCTTCAAGAGGGGAAAGATGATAAAGAGTGTGGGGTGGTTTAGTGTATATTGAAATCCCTTCAGGCCTCCATCACCTGTGTCCCCTGTGACCTCTGGTCTCCATCACCTTTGTCCCCCATCACCTGTGTACCCTGTCACCTGTGTCCCCCATCACCTGTATACCCCATCACCTGTGTCCCTATCACCTGTGTTCCCTGTCACCTGTGTCCCTGTCACCTGTGTCCTCCATCACCTGTGTCCCATCACCTGTGTTCCCTGTCACCTGTGTCCCCCATCACCTGTGTCTCCTGCCACCTGTATACCCTGTCACCTGTGTCCCCCATCACCTGTGTTTCCCATCACCTGTGTCCCTGTCACCTGTGTCCCCCATCACCTGTGTCCCCATCACCTGTGTCCCCCGTTGCCTGTATACCCTGTCACCTGTGTCCCCCATTACCTGTGTCCCTGTCACCTGTGTCCCCCATCACCTGTATACCCTGTCACCTGTGTCCTCCATCACCTGTGTCCCTGTCACTTGTGTCCCTGTCACTTGTGTTCCCCATCACCTATGTTCCTTGTCACCTGTGTCCCCCGTCACCTGTGTCTCCCATCACCTGTGTCCCCCCTCACCTGTGTACCCTCTCACCTGTGTCCCCCATCACCTGTGTCCCCCATGACCTGTGTCCCCCATCACCTATATACCCTGTCACCTGTGTCCCCCATCACCTGTGTCCCCCATCACCTGTGTCCCCGTCACATGTGTACCCCATCACCTGTGTTCCCTGTCACCTGTGGTCTCTTGTCACCTTCGTCTCCCATCACCTGTGTTCCCTGTCGCCTGTGTCCTCCATCTCCTGTGTCCCCTGCCACCTGTGGCCTGTGTCGTCCAGTCAGATTGGCATCTCTGCCCTGGTAACTGCAATCAGCTTTTGGTCACCCTTCCTTCCTGTGGTCCTCACTCTCTTAATCTCTCCTTGTGCCTCCTGTAGGATTATCCTTCCAAAACAGAGATTTGTCCACTTCCCTTCTTAAAATATTCCGAGTTTTACAACTGAATTTTTGGTTAGCATATAAAAATGGGTTTTGCTGTGACACTGTCATGCACGTGTTACTGTTAAGCATTGCTCCTACTTGGCCCTTTGCTCCCTGCCCCATGCCCTTCTGCCTGTTTGGCTGATTCTTTCCTCCTTCCAACTAGCCCTCCCTTCTACTTTCCTGACACACATTCTATTATTCTCTCTTTTCCCTTGACCATTCCCTTTTAGACCTGTCTCACATTCCTTCTATTTAAAAATATCTTATTGCATTTATTTATATGTGTGTTACTGTTGGGGACCCTGCTGCTAGGGTTGTAGTCCTCCATGTCTGGATAGCTCTAAGGGGCTCAGTGCTATATGGAAGGACTCCCCTTCTCAGCAGGGGGACTCCTGCTCTCTGCCTGACTTACCTGGAAAGTGCTGCCAAGCACGGATGCCTGACCTTATTTGGAACATGACCTTTGGCATAGTTACCTGGAGTAAAAACTACCCCCAGGTTTTTTCTATATGATAATCAGGCATTGCCCGGTAGTCGGACGATAGGAGCCCACTACCACATGTAAATAAAGCATACTATGAGCACCTA